TTACAAAAAAATTACTTGGCTGAAAGAGGCAAGTAAATTATTGAAGGTATGCCTGAGTTTAAGCAGGAGTGGACATACCTAAAGTATGATAGTATCCTATTTCCACTTTGGCTACCAAGAGATTTCTTGGAACGTATTTGTCCTCTCTGACATATATGGACAATACACAGAAGCCTTTTTGATTTCTTTAAGGACTTCTAGTAATAAGTCCTTAGAAGAAAGAAATAAAAAAGGACTTCTAGTAAGAAGTTACCAGATCTGAAGATGCATGGCCAAAGTCTGCCATCATCACTTAGCTGGAATTTCAAAACATTTATAAAACGTGAACTAGTTTAGACAAGGCAATGCAGATTCAACCGTGTCTTCATGGGTGAAATTTTCTAGTTCAGCAGTAAGCTGAACACAAAGGGTTCATAAAGCTGTGTCAGGAGAGTTTAAAAAGTAAATACAAAGATGAGAGAGGATAAATCTGCTCCAATTCAACATTCTCAATGCATACATCTGCTTTGGCACTGGGCTCTCTCTGCAGTCAACTGAGAGCAACAGATGTTTCTGGGCATGACTCATCCCATTCAAAAGCTGGTACTTGTACAAAGTGCACCTTGAGATGCCACTCTCTCCAGTGACTGAGGAGGGTAGACAGGGTGATCAGCTCAGCCTCAAATGTTTCTGCCATAGATACACAAAAACAAGTTAGAAGATTTGAGTGTTGGAACAGAAGACTTACAGAGGTCCATTCCAGCCTCAACCATTCTGTGAAGTTCAGGCCAAGTGCCAACACGTAAAATTAGAGCAGCCAAAGGCAGCTGCCACTCAGCTCACCCAAAGTAGCTGTAAGTCCAGTTTTTTACAGCATTTTAAATGAAAGCATGATGGGCATGAGGAGTCAGTGCTATTATCCCTTAATTTACTCATGTGGATGAAAAAATGCAAACTTTGACAAGAGACTATGTGCAGAGGCTCATTAAGTGACTGTCAGAAAAGCAAAAGAAGAATTACTGACGTGTCTGTCTTGTTACTGACAGCCTTAATTTTGTTAAGATATCGATCTGTGTACCAGTAGCCATTTTTAAGAGATCAGCTGAAACTGTGACTCTTGGGAACAGAACATACAACTTTTTATGTTCTGAGACTTAACCAATTCCTAAATAATGGTTTTTATCCCTTGTGGACTGAGAAACAGGTGCTGAACTGGTGTCCGAGCCACTGAGAAATATAAAGTGCCTCGGGCTGGAGGGAATAAACGTGCAGCTGCCATAGGAAAAGGAAACAACAAAAATGGCATGTTTCTGAGGAGACTGTGATGGCCAAAGAAGCAACTAACTAGGAAATGATCACTTTATTTGCCTGAAAGCCTCATTCTGCCACTAGTTTCTGGAAATAGATCAACTCAGAGGAGTAAATATAATCATCTCCAAGCCATTTATGAGCCTGAGATTAAAGTGGGCTGATGGGATGTGAAAAAAATATGGAGGTGTGAGGAAAAGAAAATGTTCATCTGCGACTGCTGTCAGATACAGCATCCAACTGCCCATAGGCTGATTGCATTACAGAGGAAATGTAATACATTTTGTAATCATCACAGAATTTGGTTTTCAATATTCTTTAGATTTGCATTTTAATGCAATTGTCTAGGCCCTCCAGGAGCATCTTGACCTGTGATGGCCATAATTCCCACCCAAAACAAAACCCCTTAAACATTCCTCCATTCTTTTAATCAATTTGGGAAAGAAAAACCAAACAACCCCCAAAAATCAAACTATAAACTAAAAAAAAACCAAACCAAACCAAAAAAACCAACCATCCAACCAACCAAACAAACAAAACTAAGAGAAGCAGCCTTTCTTATTTGCCCAAAACACTACTAAGTAATAGCAGGTAGCTTGGACAGGTGGACTTCCATGGCAGCAGTATTGGACTAATGCCTGCTCAGGAGAAAAGGTTTTCAGCACTTTCAGCTTTGATGATTTTATGAGTAAATCCAAGGAAAATACTTGGGTGTACAGTGACAATATAAAAAATGTACATTTACTAGACAAATTAATTTTGTTAAGCAAACCAGGATCACGATAGAGAGAAAATTAAGGAGAGAAAGAGAAGAAAGAAAAGCAAAATGTCAATATCAGAATTCTTGGTGACTGTTGAAACTATTCCTTGTCTGGCTCCAAAACAGATAGAGAGAGAAAAAGGAATGCGTTAGGTTGGCATTGGCAATTTTATATTCAACCTCTTTATTACTTTCCTGATACAGTTAGCTCATGAGGGATCTGATTCCTCACTTTGCTATCCAGTTTGAAATCAGGTAATCATGAAAGGTAATACCTGTATCTTTTACTGTGCTAAATGAAGCAAACTGGCTTATGTGGCAAGGAAGCAGATGATCTAACAGGCATATTTAATATTTTAGCATAGTGCTGCTTAGTTTTTTTGTTCCTTACAGAAGTATTTCCTAGTATGTTCCTAGCCAAAGGAACTTGCCATGCTCACAATTGCCAACAATTGCTGTCCTGAAGGAACAGACAGGTCAGCACCTCGAAGTCCCATGTGTGAGATGAGTTAAGGAACAGCAGCAGATGTCACAGCATGATCAATGCAAACTAGGAGTAAATCTTAAAAACCATGGACTCCTGTGCACTACATCAGCAAGGATGTGGCGTGAACACCAATCAATTCGAAATCACTTTGTCCCAGATCTTGCTTCCTTGAACAAGTGCAGTATCTCCAGGACTGGCCAGTGAATTTTCTGGTATTTGATGAATTCAACTCTAAACTCACTCACACAAATACACAAGGAAAAAAAAAAAAATCAAGTAATGATTTTCTGGTAAAAGCATCACAGGAGGAGCCCACAGCCCTCCAGAAACTAGAAAAGCAAAAAATTTTAAATTAATAGATACTTCTTTTCAGCACACTTTAATAATCTCCACTATTTTGTTGGTTTTTCATCTCATCCTAAGGCATATTTATATGTTTGATTGTTTCTTTCCCTCTCAGATTTGCTGTGATGTCATCAGCTGTTACAAATACTAGGCCAAAAAATCATTACAAATGCTAGACCATATTTATGGATTCTCAGTATCCCAACCCTTTGCAGTTTCTGAAATTGGGGCCTGTCCCCTTCTCATCAGGAATTCCTGTGGACTCTCTCCTGGGCTGGCAGAGCTACGGGCTTCCATCTTCAGTAGCTTAGTTCAGATTTATAACTCCATGCCCTCACCTCCAAACATTACTCTCTCTTAATTTTTATTCTCTGCCTTCTCTGCTGGCTGCAGTTGCTTTAAGCAAATGAAAAATGAAAAAACAAGGATGGTAGGTACTGCTTTAAAAGGAGTGCCCCCAAATCTGCCCCTCAAGTGAATCCTGCAAAGGTTAACCTGCATGACTGTTTTAAGTGCAGCTGCTGTTGCAGGAGCCTGGGAAGACCAGCCCCGTGACCCATTTTAAACAGACAATCCCTGATTCATGGCAGAAATCTCATTATGGACAAGCATTTTTTTTAAGAACTGCTGAGTAGTGGGTAACAACATATCTTCAAATTAAATCCAGTTCAATAAATAGCACAAAATTAAATCATTCAAGGTCTGGTCTGCCTTGAGCTTTACTTAAGCCCTATGCATGATTAACAGATTAGAATGCGAAAAAAAGCAGCTTAATATGTCCACTGCAGAGATGCTTTTATTCCCCTGTGCTACAAATTGTTTTATCTCTAGATACTACACCAGCCTGCTCTGCCTGTAGGCCTGAGCAGATGGTGTAGCTAGAGGAGCACTGAATTTCCAATTTACCCTGAAACCTGGATATTTGTGTTGTGTTCTTTTAATGCTAATAGTGTTTTCAATTCTTGCAAAGAACTATGTATTTGTCTGCATTTCACTCATCAGTAGTATTCCCAGTAAATATCAATACAAACAAATGCTGAGAGGCTCAAATTGGTCCCAAGCCATGCAGGAATTCAGTATAAAAGAAAAGGCAATAGCATCCAGATAGCCCAAATCCTGCCTTCATCCTTATCTGTAACAGCACACTATCTGCCATGGGGCTGTCACCATCATTTAAATTTGTACTTTATATTAGGACATTTAAATCCTAAGTATTCCTGACAATGAACTTTAATTAATTAACAAAGCCAGTATTCCAAGCTTTTATTCTCTTAAATGGAACCCACTTTTATGCTTTTATAGGACTGCATAGCTGCATGACTACACCACTGCACATAAAATACAAGTAACTAAAGTAGATTAATATAAAGCTCAATACAAGAGAATATAATTTAAATTCTTCTGGCATGGTAGGACCATGTTTCACTTTCAGCAGAAATGGAGAGGTGAGAGGGCTCAGCCTTGTGCAGGATGAAACCATTTGTAATACTGCATATGATGTGCTTAGCACTGAGCACAAAGAAAATCAGGCACACATTGAGACTATGTTCAGGTCTCAATTAGAAGTATCAGTGATATTTCAGGCTCAGGTTCCTCCAATATCACTGCAAAGCCTTTGGCACTTAAATAACCAGAAAATTGTTGTCATCATTTGCATTTCATAGCTGAAACTCACTTAAATATAGGGACATATCAGAATAGCAATGAGAGGCACTGACATATTCATATATTTTTTAATATGAAAAAGACCAGCCTGCTGTAGCAGGTGACATTTTGCAGTCTGCTCCGATACCGTCCTTCAATCATGCCAGCAGGTGTTTTCTGCCAAAGTGCCTGAACGAATTAGAATCCTGCTGGCACAGGGGATTTTTCAAATTGAGCAGTGGGATTTAATTTAGTGATTCTCTTAAACATAACACCCTTAAACCCCTCTGTGGACTCACACGCTACACGGCCAAGTCAGACTTGCCTCAGGTACAAAATCCCAATGACAATTAGCCTGCACTAGCTGTAAAAGGAGTGGGCTGGTGAGTACCACTGCAGGATGGTGGTATGTCACCTGCAGCTGCTGAGGCACAGGATCACGTCAGAAGAGAAAAGCTGTTCTTGGAGTAGGTTTACCTGTGATATTGTTTCCTTTTGGTAAGGTTCCATGTAGTTTTCCTCTACAGAGATTTCAGAAATTAGTCAGGTGATAAATGACCCAGTTTTGAACAGTAAGGTTACGCCAACTTCCTATGCTACTGTGAGCATGTGTAGTCATCTGATTTTAAGTACATCTAAAGAAAAGAAGAGTTGATTAAATAAATCATTAGTTCTTGGTTGTAAGTTTTCAATGAATTGATGTTTGAGCAACAAGCTTTGTTGTGTTAGAGGTTTTTTCCCAACAGCAATTTCTGTAATGACTTCTACTAAAACAAAGGCAATGCAGTTTTAAGACCATTCCGTGTGATAAGGCTGTGCTGAGAAATTAAGATCCTGTTTGTATATGTCATAATACTTTTCTGAGGAAATAAATCAGAACAGCAGTCTGAAAAAATCAGAACAGCGTTGAAAATTGTGAGTGCTTTTCTAGTTGCTTGCATAAAAATGACTGCATTTTTAGTGCTCTGCTTCAAAGTCAAGTGGCCACGATTCTGTTACCTGATTGATCTATAAATCTTGGATTGTGCAAAACCCTTAAAAATAATCAAATGAGTCTGAGACATCTAATATGAGGAGAGACTGACTTTAGAGGCTCCTCAAAACAGAAAATCACAGGAAAACATCCCAATGTCAAGAGCTAAGCCTCCCAGATGCTCTCCAGTTCACCTTGAATCAACAAGAAAACATCATTTTATGTGATGAGCTCATTGCCTGCAGTTCCAGACTCTGTCCTTCCAGAATCCCAGGTGCTGGGGAAAGAGTCAGTGAGCCCAGCTTTTCCCACCTTTTATTTTCAGTCATTTATTATCATTGACAAAGGGACATCCATAGCCATGTTCTTACCCTTTTTTTGTTGCAACAAGGGCACTGACAGCTTTGCACATGCCAGATGTAAGAGGCCTATGTCTATACACAGCCCAGCCAACATCAGCAGCCAAAAAGAAGGAGCCAAAAAGATTAGTCCCAAAGTCTAAGCATCCTTCAAACATGTCAAATGTGCTGTGAATAGGCTGATCAGCTTTGCTCCTGCAATTGGTCTGAGAATGTCCAACTAACCATTTTAAGTTTGTCCAGGATGGCTGGAAAGGCAACAGGGTTGGCCACCAGAAGTTCAAAGACTGCAGAAGCTCAGAGTATATCAGCAGCACTCCAGCCAGAGCTGCAGCGAGGCCCCCACCTGCAAGTGATTTTTAGAGTTGAATGCTGTATGACTGGGGGAGATAAAAAAAAAACTGTCAGTAAGGCAGGAGAGTGTAGGTGAGAAAATTTTCTCCAGATTTAACAAGATCCTAAATATTTTCATCAAGAGAATTTGTGAACAGGTTTTTTTGCATCTAAAATACGCTGGAGACTGTTGCATTCTCTTGTTTAATTAATGTTTGTTACGAGACCTACTGAAACTATTTTTCTCATGTTCATATTATAAAGGCTCTGTGATAATAATGTGAGACCAACAGGAATAATCCCATCTGCACAACAAAAACTAAAGGGAGATCTCTAAGTGATTGAATTGTATTGTATTTCAACTACAAAATACATCTTTTTACATCAGAAACACATAATAAATTGCTTTTCTGTCAATAGGTAACACAGATGCGTACCCACTCTATCAAAATGAAACTTTAGCCGTTTCCTGTTATTAAGCTTATGATTCTTGCAGCCACATCCAGACTTCGGATGCAGAAGCACATCCTTCCAAAGATGTTCCTTCTGGACTGATGCAGGCTGACACAGAAAGGGAAAAGAGCAGACAGAGTTAATACAAGCAGGAGAACTGTGAGGTACAGACAGGAAATACCCTTTCTGGTTTTAAGTAATTTGGTTTAGTTTGTTATAAAACTTATATTGTTCAAAGCAAAACGGAGAAAATGAGTCCTTTTTGATTCCTGGACTTCAAAATTATGCATCATAAAATGATAATAGAAAAACCCCAGTTCCGTTTGTTTGGAAATTACTTGGGATTGAAATATTAGCCATGTGCACTTTCATTTGGACCGTTTTTTTTTTTTTTTTCTTTTCCAAACTGAAATAGATAAACATATTTTTAATTTTACAATACTTTTCTGCTTTTCATTTCCTATAAATACTGTTCAAGGTGGTTTGGATTACAGTGAAAGCCTATGTATTTTTGCATCTGAGAAGATATTTACCTACTGACTGCTGAGGGTACTGATGACTGACAAATATTCATCCTTTGAAAATTTAAGATTTGTCACTATAATTACTAAACACATCAAATTATTTTTGATTTTTTGACAGTCTTCCCATTCAGTGGCAGAAGAAATTGAGACAGCATTCAGCAAAGCCACAACTTTGGTGTTGTCACCAGTTTTACTTTCATCAGGAAACATTTGGAGGCATCACTAATTAAATCAGAAAAGACATTGAATGCTTTTTACTACAGCATGTTGTTGGACAGAAGGAATTGTGGTTGAGGGAGTAAAACTCCATCCTACAACATGTCTGGCTGGAACTCGGATCACAGGAAGCTCTTATTTGGGCCATGGAGGGAAGGAAAACAGGTCTCTAAACACAAACAGAGATAATTTTAATTACTTTAATTGTTTTTGCAGGAGCCCTTTAAAGAGAAACTCAATTTTTTAGGACTCCTACAGGATAAAGGTAAGTTAATGAAGTAAATAGACACAGAGCATCTTAGATCCCAGACAAAACATTTAAGCAAACGGATCTATTTGGCTTCCTTGCAGAATAACTGCCAGTATTCCCCAGAAGAAGAGGGATGGCACTGAGAAAACCCTTCAAGTCAGTAAAGCCAAACAACTGTGAAAAGTGGTGATTTAGACTTCCCTACAAAACCCTTTTGATGGTACAGTGAAGGTGCAGTACATCAAAGTCCAAGATACTATTGAATAAAGGCAGTTCATACTGAAAAGGAAAAAAAAAACAAACCCAGTTTTATAAAAGCAACAAACAAAATGGATCAAGAATTAAGGAACTGACTTTTAAGAGTTTTTCTAAGTACCAGGCATGGCTAAAGTGACTGATATCCAAAATAACTATCAGTAAGTCACTGATGCCAGGGTCCAGGACATCTGTATGAAGGCCATGTACTTCTGACCAAGTCTGTGTTTTTAGGAGGTGTGCCTCAGGCAATTACTTAAACCAGAGCCTCAAGGAAGGTCCTCAGTGTTCCGCAGATGAAAGTCTGCAGTGGCTGAGTCATTCAAGAAACAAGGTCATTCCACTGGTAAGAAATGCCTCTATTTCAAGTCATTCCATAGACCATGAACTTGGGTGAAACCTGTTTGAAAGCAAGACCAAGTAGATAAAACCCCCAAATAACTAAAATGTAAAGCAACTGTTTAGCTCCCTACTTTGGCTAAGTTTGGAAGCAGCTGTGACTCTTCATGGAGACTCTTTATTCAGTCTCCATACTCAAGAGGACATCCCACCCTCTTTGCAAAACAGCTGTGGAGGAGGCTCAAGAAGGCTGAAGGAGGCTCACAGAAAACAGACCCATGCCATGTTTGTGTTATGCATGCAAGGGGATATAAAGACAAGAACCCACTAGTATGTGTTTCAGCACCTCTGAATGAGTACAAGTGGGAAAGCCCGGTCCCTTTCTGCAGCAGCTCAGCTCAGATGAAGGTGGGTGTCAGCAAAGTGACTCTCAGCAAAAATGAAAGCCAAAGGTGCAGAAAATGTTCAGTTACAAAATGCTGAGCCCCTGAGGGCACCCAATGTCCCTGCCAAATCCCACAGGCTCCCCCACCCTCCCATGGTCAAGGATCCCATTTCAGCCCAGCCTGGACTCATCAATCAGGTAAGGTCCCCATTAGAGTTACCTTGCTTAAGGTAACTTACCTTCCTCAGAATTCAGATGGAGGCACCTGTGACAACAATTTCAAATACTTAAAGTATTAGAAAATTTAGTAAAACTTTCTTCCTGCTGTGCCGGTAATCTTGCAGTGTTTTCAGGGGTATTTCCCAATGGTAGGTTGGAGGAGAAATCAGTAATAAAAATCTCCACCCAGTAAAACCACAAAGTATGACTATTTCTCAAAACAAGATGTAAAGTAGGGGCATTTCACCACAGTGCCAAAAAAAAAAAAAAAATAAAAGAACAGTCCTCTGCTTCAGCTTCAAATGGATCAATACTTTTCCTTGGAGGCTGAGTGACAGGACCATCCAGCAAGAGGATAAACATAAAAAACCCCATAGGGAAGAGGACTGAAGACAGTGAAGGAAGGACAAAGATAAAACCACCACCGACAAGAAATACAGTGAAATAAACTAGAATAAATTTATAAATTTTCCTATAAGCAGAACAGAGGTATAGGGAGTTCAAATACATGCTCCAGCCTTGGCCATTCCTCATGGCCAGGAAGCTGGAGCAGCCTGATTTGACCACCAGCAATGCCTACATGCTCTTCTGCATACAGCAAAGTCCAGCAGCCAATAAATAATGTGTGAAATTTGCCTGGACAGAAGATCAGGCTTTCCCAGAACATTCCTGTTGTCAGCCCAATTCTTCTGAGAGAACCTGAGGAGTATTGCAGTAACTGTGCTGATATCAGCTTGAAGTTTTCAGGATGTATTTGAATATCTTCTCTTTGAGCTGCAGGGTTGAAATAAATTTTTGCAGCAGCTCAACAATTGCATGTAACTTTTTTATTGTTGTTCAGCTAGAACAACAATTATTTCTCCTTAGAAAATCAACCTCTATATCCTGTAATGACCTTTTACTCTGGTGTTTCTTTTCCTGTTCACCCACTTGTTTTATGAGCTAGGTTTGTGGGTTTTCTCTTCCTTTTTCTAATAGGTATAATAGGAGTCAAGCTATTGAAGAGCAGATGGTTTCTGTGCTAAAGCTTTAGTAAATTTTGTGAGGCAATTTTCACAGTCATAAAAAACCTGAAATTGTCTATGTAGCTAAAGGAACAAAGTCTGACAATTAACATCTGCATACCAAAAATTGTCCAGAGAAAACTTCTCTTTCCAGAAAGTAGTGTACAAGTTCTTCTTTTACAGAAGTGTACAGTAAAACCAAAATGGTTTTCATCTAGTGTTTAAAGCATACAGGCATAGGGATGCCTCACTAAATAAATGGTGTGCTGCAGGTGCGTAGTTGTGCTATGGTTGCTTTGGACAAATTTTGTAAAGCTTGTAGTGAAGGCCCAAAGCAAGAGTCTAACATCAATTTTCAAATCTGCTGCACTCATTAGACAACTGAAAAAAATAAATTGTGGACTGCTAACTACCGTTCCGGTTGGACACCCCCAATTAACAGCATAACAAGCCCAGAGAAGGCTTCCTCATTAATAACTAGTAATGACAGGGAGTTAAACTGGTTCCCAGAGGTTCCAGAGACTCAGCAATTTCCCAGAATCAGTATCTTTTTGCCTCCTAACATTTTCCTCATGAAAGTTAAATAATCTGGCACAAGCATATACAAGATTAATTTTCAAGTGAATTATACATTCTGGCATTTGTCTTTCTTCCATATAGTCACAGTAATGTCTTCTGGGAATAATTTGCAGAAATTATTCAGAAATTCTGAATTTGCCAAATTATCTTTAGAAAACTTGATGGGACATACTTATAAAGTAGGTGCAGTGATTGAGCACTCAGCATTTACATTTGCATATGTCAGTACGGATTTGCACATATGACTGAAGTGAATAAAAAGGCAGATAGATGCTTGGTCCAAAAATTATATTCTGTGCATGAAAGTGTTGCCTTAGGAAGTGCAGGAGAATTGCAAGTACTTTGTTACAATATCTGTCAGAGGGATTACTCTGTGGGGGAAAAAAATCCCCCGTTAAAAATAGGTCTTAAATTTTCTAGTTAATTTCTTTGCTTGAGTGAACTGTGAAAGAATTAGTTGCCTAATTATGCCAACACAATGGCTTAACTTGTTGAATGTCGAAAGCTTGCTGTTAATCAGCATCTCCAATTCAGTAATTGTAAGCCTGTGACAATGAGAGAAAGCAGAAAAAGATTCACAGTTTCTGCATTAAAAACTATTATTTCCCACACATTTTAGTATAGAGGTAGTTCTAGTACTCAAAACTGTGAGACCCCAAACACATTACCAGAGGAATAATTTTACTGTGGCAGCTACTGTTAATTGCCAGGCAGTGTGATGGAGGTGCTGGCTATTGGTGTAGTGTAAGTGTTCCTATGCTGTGAGAGAACTGCCCTTCTGCTAATGGGACAACAGAGCCCACTCTACAGGGGACAGGTTTAAAGTCTTCAGATTAGAGTCATCCTTGGTGGAATTTAGAAAAACTAAAGTTACATTAGCATTGAGCTGGATTACAAGAATAGATTATTTTTCTTTCATTGTTGCTGATTTAACTGAATTTACATTAGCATTGAGCTGGATTACAAGAATAGATTATTTTTCTTTCATTGTTGCTGATTTAACTGAATTTACATGGTTGTAAATACTAACAGACTTCCTTCTGAGCTTTTTCTTGAACCTCAACAAATACATAAGCTTACTTTGTTTTTTCTTCCACCTCCTGCATTTTCTTATTACATTTCCTACTAGCATTTTCTATCATCTTCAATGATGACATTAGCTTCTTTCTTAGAGGAAGTTAGAGGAGCTCACAAGATCACTGATGACATAACCATGTTTTAAATTTAAAAACTCCAAACCTCCTTGCTTCCTTTTTTTTTTTGGTTTTTTGTTTTTTGTTTTTTGCCATTTCAATACTCAGATTTCACATTCTTGGAAAGACAAAGACAATCTCTACTCTGACAATTACAGTGTAGTATATTTGTTATATTTTAATTTTTAAATAAATCAGAACCAGAAATAAAATGTCTCTGCTTGTCTTGGGCATGGAAGAGCTCCCCTAGCTAGGTATGTGTCAAGCTGCTGCAGCTGGTTCAGCGATGCTACACTGGGTTATCAAGCATCCCTTAGCTCAAACACAGGCTGCAGTGCTGAATTTGGCTTAATCTAAATCCCTTCTCAGCTCACTCTCTGTACCCAGCCCTTATGTCAGGAAGCAGAGAGCAATAGCAGGCCTAACTTCACAACTTTACCAGTTCTTAGGAATAACTGGAGAAATTTGGGAGAGAAGGGAGAAATGCATTCACCCCCTTTTGACTCCACACATGCTGTTGGTCCCCAGATTCCACTGCCCTCTTCCCTCAGTCTGAGGGGTACAGAAGTCTCATGCCTTTCTGCTCTTTTGCTGAGCCTTTGGGTGGTATGAGATGCATGGTGGCTGTGTAATTGTATTAACCAAAACCTGAAGCTGTACAGAATCACAGAATATGCTGAGCTGGAAGGGACTCTCAAGGATCATCTAAGTCCAACTCCTGGCCCTGCACAGAACCATCTCCAAGAGTCCCATCATGTGTCCAAATGCCCTGTGTGCCCTGAGTGTTGTCCAAATGCTTCTTGAACTCTGTCAGGTTTGGTGCTGTGACCACTTCCCTGGGGAGCCCGTTCCAGTGCCCAGCCACCCTCTGGGTGAAGAACTTTTTTCTAGTAACTGAACTAAACATCCCCTGACACAACTTCAGACCATTCCCTCGGGTCCTGTCACTGTTCACCAAAGAGAAGAGATCAGTGCCTGCCCCTCCTCTTCCCCTCATGAGGAAGTTGTAGACTGTCATGTGGTCTCTTCTCAGTCTCCTCTTCTCTAGGCTGAACAGACCAAAAGCCCTCAGCCACTCCTCACACAGCATCCCCTCAAGGCCCTTCACCATCTTTGTCTCCCTCCTTTGGACACCCTCTAATAGTTTTACATTGCAGCACCCAAAACTGCACACAATAATCAAGGTCAGGCTGCCCCAGTGCAGAGCAGAGTGGGGCAATCCCTGTGCCTGATGCACCCCAGGGCATGGTTGGCCCTCCTGGCTGCCATGGCACAGCCGTGACTCATGTTCATGTCCCTTTCCATGGTGCTGCTTTCCAGCATCTCATTCCCCAGTCTGTCCATACATTCTGCCCCACCCCAGGTGTAGAATCCAGCACTTTGCCTTGTCGATCTTCCTACTGTTGGTGATTGCCCAGCCCTCTGATTTGTTAAGTTTCTCTGCAGGGCTTCCTTTGAGGGAGGCAGTAGCTCCTTCTGGTTTTGTATTGACTGCAAACCTGCTTATGATCCCTTCTAGTCCTGCATCCAAGCCCTTATGAAGATGTGTAAGAGCACAAGGCCTATGACAGAGCTCTGCAGAGCCCCATAAGTGACAGGTCACCAGTCCAATGTCTGTGTTCACTGTAATCCTTTATGCCTGACCTGTGAGCCAGTTGCTTACCCATGTGTTTATCCAGCTGTGTGGTGGACATTTTGCTGGACATTTTGTCCAGAAGGATACTGTGAGAGACAGTATCAAAAGCTTTACTGAAATCCAAGCCCTTGATCACCTGGGTGGGTTACCTTGTCATAAAAGGAAATTGGGTTTGATAAGCAGGACTTCCCTGTCATGAAGCCCTTCTGGCTGTGACCAGTAACTGTACACCTGGCTTCTCTCAAATCAGCCCACAGAGAAACTCAGAGGTCTGGACTTGTGCCAGTGTAATGATCAGGAGTACACAAGACCGATGTAGTTAGAATGATACACTTTCATGCATCATTTCCTTGTCTTCCTTGCAGATGCTCAAGAGTGACATCAGGTGTACGTGCAGAAAGCTTAATTGCTTCTTTCTGAATGTGGCTTTGCATCTGAAGACACTTCCACCCAACCGCTTATCAGCCCCAGACTGGAAGTCAACTCTGCTTCTGTCTTACTTTCCACTTTCTTCAGATCCTCTAAATTTCCATTGAGTCTCTCAGAATTTCTGTGACGTTTTTGGTCTTTTTCAGGTCCTCAATCTTTGTTCCACTTTTGGGGAAAACTATACTGCAAAAAGTCCCTTCTGCACCAGCCATCTCACCTGGACCAGCTTGTCCTTCCCGCTATTCTCAACATGCCCTTTCTAAAATGTGAGCTACTAGGTCTGATCCCATATGTGAAACATGTGGTATTGCACATGTTGGAACATCTGATGACAAAGTAATTTCAAAAATAAGGACATTTGTCCTAGCTTGTTGGCTTCTGGAAGGTTTTTAAGCTGCTGCTAACCACGGACTTCCTCTTGGCTGAAGCCTGTGAGTGACAACATGTGCAAGCAGAGAGCTCATTAACAGTCAGGATGTTTGAGGGCGGTGCTCCGTGTGCAAAGCATGTTTAATTTTATCAGCAAATCAAGCTATTTTTATTCACAAAGTACTCTGTGAAAATGACAAGAGCATGGGAGAGCTGAAAGATTGTGAGATATAGAGGGAACTATTTCTATTTTGAAGCCTCTGCTGAGAAGATAAAAATTATTGAGGCTGAAATGCTGCATTCCAGCATTTACTGTCTCTCTTGACAGTAGAAGCACCATGGGAGACAGAAGAGCAAAAATTATGTTAGAGAGATAATACACAGGAAGCCAATGTTATGTTATATTAAAAACAGCCAGTACTTACAGTGACAAGCTTGGAAACTAGAAAGGAAATACTGCAATACTAAAGTATGCAGAACATGTTATACCTATATTCTTTCCCCCACCCCTTTACAAAACAATATTAAGTGCAGAACTATCACCACAAAATGGCAGGAGCTAGATGCGAAATGGGCAGACTACTTCACAGATCACTGAAGAAGAACCTAGCTGTCTCCCTTGGGTACAGAACTGTCCTGATCTTAGAAAGAGATGCAGATCATTTGTATATTTAAATGGTGTCTTCGTGGTTTATAGAAAAAGCCTAAATATGGAAAAATCATCTCTCTTATCTGTGCTGAAGAGACAACACAGTATGGAATTGAAAACTGAAAAAAGAGAAAACTGATGTCTTCCCATTCTATTCAGACCAGCAGTCCACCCCAAATTAGGCGCTTCTTGAGAAGTAGGTACTTTCTTCAGGAAGGCTGGAGCTTAACGATTACAAGTCTAGCTCAGGCACCCACTGGGTGACAAAATAAATACTGGCTTTGCTGGAATCTCCCTGTGCCAAAAACAGCTGTAACCCAAAATAACTGAAGTAAACACAGCCTAATCCTCTTGCAGTAGAAGAACTGTTGGGAAGGTGGAGGACAAAACATTACTGTCTTTCTTTTTTGATCTGATAATCTTTTAACAACTATAGTTTTATCTTTACTAAAATATGTAACTTGTGATAAAGCTATTTGCATCTTTCATTTTTTCTAGAACAGTTACCACAGACATACATAGTTTCATTTCTATGGTTTCGCATTTTTCTGATGGGTTGTCTCACTCTGTGAGATGTCTGATTCTTTACAAGACAGCTTTACTTCAGTTAGGCAGGTTTAAGACCTTGATTTTAGTTCTTAGGCCTAAGTATATGTCGTAGAAACCCATACAAAATCAGTTTAAAGAAACATGTCTTGCAGCATGGCTCATTGGCCATCACTGGTGCTGATGCTACTGCCAACCCAAGTATTTTTTCTTACAAAGGGGAAATCCCGGCATCTCAGAATTATCCATTCTCATCAACACTTCTGAGGATCCCATCTTGGTAAATCTATCTAAATTACTATTTTGCATGATACAAAAGTCAGCTACTACAAGTCAGCTACACTGAAGATTCTCAAAAGACTAAGTATAAATGGGTTTTGGATGGGTAAGGGACTTTTTGGACAAGACTTTAACTTGATTTTGGCAAGTGTGCTTTTATTCTGTAGTCCTCCTTTAGTTGTTTGAGAGTCTGGATGAAATCCTGGTATTATTGAGTCAGAGGTGAAACTCACACTGCTAAGTGTGAGACCCTGGTGTATCTTGGTGTTTAAAAACATAAGCAGTGAAATGTATATTGAGGCAGAATTTCTTTTCCAATGCTATAATTCAACCATTATTCTGCTAAGAAGCTCACAAATCTTGTTTGGCACCTTCTACTCACTCAGTATGCTATAAAGGGCGGGAAGCCCAGTCTTTTAACACTTATTAACATGGGGTAAGTAAAGCATTAGTAGGCAGACAACTGGCTCACCACCTGGACAGAAGAGAAACATGTTTTTTCTCTCTCATATTGATTTCTGGTCCTTGTGTTTTGCCTGAAAAATTCAAAATTAGATTATTATTTAATAACTGGACATTCATACTATGTCCAGCATCTTCAGGCTGTGTATCTATGTATTTGTATGGATGGAGCATTTTTCAGACCCATGAAACTAATGGGTTGTTTCTGTTCTCAGTTGCATGTGGTGTCATTGACAAAGGCTGTGTCATGTGTCTAACCACAGGTGCTTATATACCATAAAGACACTTCTGGGAGTCAAAGCATCATACATCGAGGGCAAGAACTGTGTTACCCTCTCTGAATTTCACCCTGCACACCACACTTAAATATTAGTAGTATTTTACAGAGGATATCATCTATTGCCTAGAGGTCAAGACTGTCAGCAGCTCCCACTACACCATCAGCAAGACAGGGACCTCACTTTCCTGATAGTTGGATGCCCAGACCAGGAACATGGGACCATGGTCCATCTCCTTACGTGAGCATCTTCCAAGGTCAGGCAAGGGCTGGGCTGGAGATTCTGAGACTATGTATTTTAATTGAAACACCTGAAGTCAACATCTTGTTGACTTTCCATTTCCCAGGAGATTTCAAATAATCTTAGATGTCTAAAAAACTAGAAGTCTACATTTGAACTGGTAATTTTATGCTCCTACTGTAGTTAATAAAAAGGGCTATCAGGAAGACATCCACAATAGGTTGAATGTCCCTCTGTGGGTGCCCATTTCTTTCTTTCAGCTGCAAAGGGTGACCTGCTCAGACAGCTATGGAACTTACAGGTGTAAAAACTGGAGCAATGAGTCACGATCGAGATGTCCTCATCCCATCAGCACACATACGTAGCCAAAAGTGTAGCTGAGAAACCCCGCAGCTCTGTACAGCGCAGAACTGCAGCATTTCTGAAACTCACTGCAGATTTTAATAGCTGTCGTCTACCCTAAAAAGACACTTGCACCTCTTCTCCTTACTGTAGCGTCTTGCGTGTTCTTTTTCCGGAGCTCTGGTGAATAGCAGGACCAACCACTCCTCCTCGGGACACCCTCGTCTGCTCGGTACCTGTCCTGGCTAACACACCTCATTTTCGGTGCGCCCCTTCCCGGGCGGGGGTGAGTCCCGCCGTTCCGAGCCCGCCCCTCCGGCCCTGCCCGAGGGGAGGGAGGGAGGCCGGGCGAGGGGCGGCCCGGAGCCCGGCGCAGCGGCACCGGAGCAGCAGCAGCCCGCGCCCCGCCGGCGGCAGTGGCTTCTCAGGCGGCAGCGGGGGCAGGTGCGGGCGCGTCCGCGTCGCGCTGCGAGGAGGAGCAGGACGAGGAGGAGGCGGCGGCGGGCGGCGCGGCCAGCGGCCCGGAGCCGGGCCGGCGTGCCCGTGGGCGTGCTCCCCGGCGAGGAGGACCGCCCGCCGCCCACATCGCCGCCGCCGCCGCTAACTTTGCTGCTCCGCAAAGAGCCGCCCTCCGGCAAACAGAGAGTCGGCGGAGCCGGGGTCCGAGCCGGCCCCAGCGAT